TTACGTCAAGTCATCCAAAACCACTTGGACACGACAGAGGCGGCTGCAAGTACGTTGCGCAAACCAGTCCTCTGCACACAGCAGAACCTCATACAGCCCTCAAATCTGCCATGGCCCAAAGCCACCAAGTCGGCCACCCGCATATACCTACCTTTCCCACTGCCCACCATCCCGCCGACTGTAATTTTGCCTTTTCACTCCTCCCCAACGCCTAACTACAGCATAATTATCCACCTGTCCACATCTTTTTAGTAATTATTTAAATAGCAATATCACTGTGCAGACCTGAAGAGACTATCGAAAGCAAGCATATGCTCGTCACATTACCAATTGAATGCTGTCTTAATCCCGAATAGCTGGCGCGAACCGTGAGATTTTAAAATCGTCACAGCCTAAGGCAAAAAATCCAGTCCTTCTGACCGAAGATGAGCACGTGACTATATGGACCCCTAGAAGGACGGATTTTTTCTGCTAACCTCATCGGCAGGAGACGGCATGCAAAACAAGCTGGCCCTCGAGTCTGGCAAGTAGGCAATCCTGTACCGTACGGCCGTCATACCTTCAAGCGTATCTGGGCGCCGGTGTAACAGATCATTTATCTGTCCACAGGTCACGGGCTAGAGCACTCACCACCCAATAAAGTTTTCGTCGACATCGTGGTCCCATGGACCAAAGCCATCCTCACAGACTGAGTGGGATGAGGAACCTTGCTTCGATCATATTCTGTTAATTAGCATAGCCATTCATAATTTATGCCGTTCCCCTGTGGCCAGTCAAACTGGCACCTTTACTAGCTGCAACAAACTCAAGTGCTGAAACAGGGGAGGGGGGAGAGATTTCTCCCTGCTCCATGAGCAGCAAAGGGTCTGACCTCTCAAGAGTTACAACCGACTCTTCACATTTCATTACGCTCGTTCGTCAGCCTTCACTTTCTGTCGTGGCGAATTAGCGAGACGCTCCACCTTCTTGCCCAGTTTATTATCCGTTTTGTGTTAACTTACAGTCTAGAGGATTGGACACTGCGCCGCCCTCTGGTAAATGTTTCGTGCGCGTTCCTGCTTACAATCAGTGACCTATCGCAAAAAATGTTAACCGGAACTCGGAAATACGTCTTTGATTATGGGGGAGGTGGGGGGTACTTAAGTGAGGCTGTATTGTTGATTATCGTGAACTGTGATCTGGCGATGTTTCAGTCAAGCCAGAATGCCAGCTTTTAAATTTGCCCCTTCTCGCCCCCCCCCCTCCCCAACAAACACATTCAGCAACGAAATGACTACTTAAGGGGTAGGTATTTTTCCCATTGGTTTTCGATGCACTTATAAGCCCAACTATACTTTGCACTACTGTAGGGTGTAGGACCCCCAATTAAGTTGCGCTAGCCTATAAACCGTGTCATACTTTGAATGGTGGCAGAGGGGGTTTTACGGATGTGACAGCACAGAGGACAGGGCCAGAAAATAGATAAATTCCTGCCGAAATTCTTATAGTACGCTGTCACTATGCAAAGAAATTGAGCCCGATAATTAAAAAATAAACGGAAAGCGATTTCAAAAAAATAGCAGACTTTGAATATAGCGGGGCTGGTAAGTTTGCATCTAGTCAGGAGGGGAAGGAAGTTTTGAACAATGATAACGGTAAATAATGAGTTATGTTTGCAGTCACTCTATCGGTACCAAATTTTGTAGAAAAAGTTCACGTAGGGGTGGGAGTACATTTAGGTTTTAAAAGGTTTTTTTTCAATTACCGAATAAATTTGAACTCGCTCTGCTGTTACACTTGTATTTAGGGTTTCCAAGGTACCAGCTGTATGCTTTCTCTGTAATGAAAACCGTACATTCCTCTATGTTATTATGTAGATACAATATTGAGCTCAGGTATATTTCATAAGGATTATTTATAAGTGGGCAAGTACGATGCTATTTGAACGGCCACTTACGATATTAACACCGTCTAAGGTACCCCTTCTAACCAACAACGCATTTCGGAATTTCGATTAACATTTCATGAGAGTAATCACTTACTGTACTCTGACACCTAACACTGAAATCGAAAACTTTTGACTGTCCGTATGTGTGCAGGGTTTACAGTCTGTGATCTGATCAAAACTAGTCTCCGACACTTGTTCTATCGGAGAGACGGTGAGCGTTTATTCACCTGTCATTTTGAACTCGCACACGGGTCCGTTCCGGAGGCTGAGATGGATGGCAGTGAACTTCCATGGAGGTGCGATCTCCGGCTTTCTGACGCCGCAAGGCCACGCGTGTTTCCCCCTCGTACACTTCAGTTCGCAAACAGCCCATCTTGCCACGTGCTCGCAGTAGTTGGCCTGTATAGTTTCCTTTGGCTAGCAGGAAGGTGTTTCGCGAGTTAAAACTCGATGGATTGTGCGTTGATCTCACGTTGAGTTAGCGACGGTCAGATGTGGTTATGTAGCCCCACCTGAAGTAAACAACCTCCAGCCACCTGTAATACAGGACCGGTGGTAATAGGGGTTTTTATAGGTAGGGCAGGGGAACGCACAAGCGACGGGGTCAATTGGTTGTACGCAAAAGAAAAGCTATTGGGAATGCGCGGTTGTGCTTTGAGTGGTTGAGAAGTAGTCGCCCTAACCCTGACCCCTAACGCCAACCCCAACAGCATTGTGTCCATCAGGTGGGACTACGTAACCACATCTAACCCTAGCAACTGCTGTTGGCCCCCGTATACCGCTATTCGTGATTCCACAATCTACTTTAAGATGTCCTCTTTGCCAGGAAGTACGATCACTACATGTAATGTCTTTCGAAAACTGACTATCCTAACTCCTATTGGTTCAGTACTTGAAAGGGGCGTAAGCTGTTCGACCTTTTTTCCAATCCATCTGGCAAGTTGTTTGTCGCGACTTATTTGCGCAGCTGACCTAGGCGGTATCCGTTGTCTCACCTCAACCGATTGTCTCCACTTCAAATTATTTTAACCCACCCATGCCCTTTATCGCTCAGAAACACCGATTTTTCCTTGGTCCTTTCCCCGTCTTTTCCAACAGTATGGAACCGCTAATGCGACTGTTCGGTTGCTGCCAACACCCCTGGGGCGCTACGCGTCTCTACAACGACACCTCCATGGTGGACGAGGACGATGCGGCACTGTTGGGACGCAACGTCCGCACCTCCACGGCCATTCCCGGTGCCAGAGCCTACGCGCCAGGCAAGTCGACTGTCCACCTGGATCTCTCCTCTGCCGGCCAGTATGTGGTTGTCCTGAAGAACAACACTCGCATTTGCGGAACGGGCGGGGCCAGAGCCAACACCCCTATCCTCCAGGACAAGGCCTACTTCGAGGTCAAAGTTCAGACAGCGGGCTCCTGGGCTGTTGGCCTCTGTCTCAGTAGGGTGGGTTTTACCCCCTGTGCTTGACCTCTCAAAATAAAGGGGGGGGGGGCGCAGCTGTGTCTGGCTGTTTAGGACTGGTGTTCGAGTGAGACTCCCGCAGGGGGCTGCGCTGTAGAGGCGCTGGGCCAAAACGGAGGTCAAATGGGAACAGGGCAAATTTGTTAATCGGACTGCGCAGTCTGCGCGAGCCCGTAACTACTGCCGTACGCGGGAGGGGTGTGGCGGCACGCTTAGACATATGCCTTCACGCCGTGTCAGTCACCGCGTCCAATCCCCGCAACAGGCTTGGACAGTCGACTGGTGCATGGGAGAGTCCATCGGGACGGCACATCCGCGCATTCTTCACTGCAGTAGCTCTGACCCGCCACGAGTCGTGGCGTGGAAGGCTGCTGCCAACTAATGGGATCACTTGGTCCTTCTCAGGACTGAAAGTCAGACTCAACGACTCCTCCATGATGTGGTCCTTATGGGAACCTCACAGACATGAGATCAGAGCCTCTCCTGCAGCAGTCTAGTACGTGCGGGTCGTGCGTGGCACGCGTAGACGGTATGTTTGGCTACGTCAGCCACTGCTCCCCCCAGCCTCCTCCTCCGATCTCCCTGTCATTGGAAAAAGGTGGGTAATGTAAGAAAAGAGTGTGGTTGATGCTGTGCCAGTCCGTCCCACAACAAGCTGGTTCACACACACAGATCGCTTGTGCTGAATCCACTTCATGGGACACATTGTGGCCGGTCGGACTGTCTCACTTCTCAGTCCGTAGTTCCAATGCCCTTTGTTTATCACCCTACGCCTTTGTTTTCGGCCATCGGGCAACTGAAGCGACCTCGTGGACTTCTTGCCCGACTGATACATCACCTACAGTGCCTGACCGATCTAATGAAATGTTGACCAAAATTCTGAGGCGCGTTTTCCATTAGGAAGGATTACTTAGGTGGAGTTGTAATATTAATTAGCATACAGCATAATCCTGTAGTATTTCGTACCCGTCAGGATGTCGGCTTTTGAATGCACTTCTTGTCGACCCCCTGCAGAAACCATACTCGGTAAAAAATGACTACTTATTTAGCATGCATTTTTCACATTGATTTTTAATGGCCCCATAAATTCAAATATATTTTTCAGACAACATGCACAAATATGGTTTCTTTTATTCTTTTGGTCAAAAATCATATTACCTTCACATGTTGTACTCGGGGAAATGGTATATTTAGGTTTTGAAAAAGTTTCTCGCTCCCTGAATTAGCGTTTAGCGATTTCAGTCTGCAAAATGTATACTTTCCGCGTAGGGAAAGTCACATATGCTTTGAAGAAGAGACCATATAGAGTTCATGAATTTTTTTCAATGGATACGGAGTATGTTTTGCATTTCATGAGGCGCACTGGTAAACGGACACGTGCGATGATGTGTTTATGGACACCGCACGGTCTTAAAAATCTCCTAACTAGAAACTTTTCCAAAACCGGAATATACACTTTTTCGGCTCTAAAATGTGAACACAGTGTAATTTCCTACCAAACAAGTACAAGAAGGCATATTGTCGTGCATGGTTTCTGTAAAATATATTTTAATTTATAAGACCGTCGAAAATCAATGTGAAAAATGCATGCTACTTAAGTAGTCATTTTTTTACTGAGTGTGGTTTCTGCAGGAGATTACAAATAAGTCCATTCAAAAGCAGGCATTCTGGCAAGTCCGAAATATTGTAGGAATGTTTCGTGGTAATCAGCATTACTACCCCACCTAAGTAATTCTTCCTAATCGAAAACGCGTTTCAGAATTTCAGCCAACATTCCATGAGATCAGTCGCGCACAGTATCTTTTTGCTCTTTGGAAGTCGTTTTGTCCCGAATGTTCTAAACTCTCTCACAAAAGGTGTGCGGTTCTAAAATTAACTCTTCTTCCAAAGGACTATTCTGTGCAGCATTCATGATTTTGCAGCTCAACAATAGAGGGAATTTTACTGTCATTTCTATTGGCATGCCGTTACGCTAGCATGCCTCACGAAGGCCTCAAGGATTGTAGGTTAGATTGGATTATCTAAGTTGGGTTGTAATATTAACTATCATGCAGCATAATCCCGCGATATTCCATCCGCATGAAGATACCGGCCTTTGAATGCGCGTCTCCCCAGCGAAGTGAAAAAACCAAACTTGTTAGAAAATAATTGATGGCATAGTATGCGTTTTTCCAATGATTTTGTATGTTATTACCGACAAAGACAAGGAAGACTGGAATGGCCATTTCTGGCTTATTAGCCGTCGTCAGCCAGTCATACCCAACCCCGAAGTGTGGAACACCCGAGGCCCGAACTCGCGACCTGTTAGTTAGAAGTCCACGCCTCTAACCACTGAGCCACGAGCCCGTTGCCCTGTCGGTTTTCGATCGAAAATGTACAGCGGTAGGGGGCGCTCACCGATCGTTCATACGGAACTTACTCGTTCCGTTGTGCCGTACGGGCTCTCTCTCGAGTCCAACCAGCAGCCGCACAGCGGCGCATGATATAGGCAGAATAACTGGAATGGCAATTTCTGGATTATTGGACGTCGTCAGCCAGTTATGCCCAACCCCGAAGTGTGGAACACCCGAGATTCGAAACGATCGGTGAGCACCCCTCTACCATCGTATATTCCCGATCGAAATCGACAGGGCAACGGGCTCGTGGCCTAGTGGTTAGAGGCGTGGACTTCTAACTAACAGGTCGCAAGTTCGAACCTCGGGTGTTCCACACTTCGGGGTTGATAGGCAGAATGGTATTACCGACAAAGACAAGGGAGACTGTGCGCCGCTGTGCGGCTGCTGGTTGGGCTCGAGAGAGAGAGAGCCCGTAAGACACAACGGAACGAATGAGTTCCGTAAGAACGATCGGTGAGCGCCCCCTATCATCGATTTTAGTTGTGCTTACAAATCACAACCAGACGTATAGAAATCACGCACAGAAATATCCTTTTTTGCACTCATTTTGTAGTGCATAACGCCATCTTTGCTTTTCTTTCACTCAGAGTTAGGGCATTTTTACGTTTTAATGTGTTTGTGATTTTTGGCTGTGGAATGTTTTTTGCGTGGTGCATCGATGCTACCTACATTCCATGCAGCGTTGTCCACATCTACTGAACATTTTTCTAAGCCATGTATGGCAACTTGATAGGTCGGAGAAAATTATTGTTTTTCTCAACTAGACCATTTACGGCCTGTAGCCTGGAAACCCCAAACACAAATGAAGCGGCAGCTGGCTTTCGAAATTATTTATAAAACTTCGTAAACTGGAATATACCATTTGTGTGAGTATAAAATTAGATCGAGACTTGATCTGCTGCAAAATCAGTGTTAGTGTATGTACTTTTTATGAAATATGTTTAGATTTATAAAATCATCGGAAATCACTGGCGGAAATCGTACTACCTAAACGGACTTCTTTAACGGCTGTGGTTTTTCATAGGCGGTCGGACAGGTGTGCATTCAAAATACGGCACCCCGGCTGGACTGGAATATTTTTTTGTATTATGCTGCGCGAAAATGGGTATTTCAACCTCACTAAGTAATCCCTCCCATGTTAATTTGTAGCTTAGCCATCCTGCTAATAATCCCGTTAGTTGGTCACCTACCGTATAGGTAGTACGGGACCCTTTAACTAAAACGCCGTGTGTGGAGTTAGGTACCCCGTGGACGGGCTGTTGGGCCCTGCCTCATCTTTGGAATTTTGCGCGTTTGAGGTAAATGCAGCACAAACCTGCTTCATTCCCATGTCATTATTATTCCCTCACCGAGACGGTCGTTCTTTTCATTAGCGACAATTAGTATTGTTGCGTATTATTGCGTCCTATACCTAGTCTTTTTTTGTACCAAAATGTCGTTAAAAGACCGCCAAATTTTCTGTCAACGCGAGTCAATCTTGTTCGCGCCGAATGACTAGTACAGATCAGTGGAGGCGTCAGCGAAGCGACGAGTTCAAGCGAAATGTATAACATTGTTGACGCGAAAACTCTTCATACCCGTCGGCGAAGGAGGTTGTCCTCATGTGAGACGAATTAGTGAGTTAAAGGAAACAAAAATATTTGTATGATTAAGAGGAAACGGCTTTAGCAACCGCATCCCAGAGAGTGCTTTCCAACACAGCGTCCTGTAAGTTGCAGCAGCACGTTTCTGCCGTACTGTAAGTCGCCCTTCATGGTGAGATGATTTCATCCTTCCAAAAAAGTCTACAACGTTAAAAATCCACTCCTTGTCATGCGTCTTCCAAACTTGAGCTACGATTCCTGAGGCGTCAACTTTCCTCTCCGCATTTATCCGCTGCCAACGCCTTCTCGAGTATTTGTCTGTGCGCGCCTTTACTTCGCGCGAACTCCGTCCGACGTAAACACCGTCGCACTCATGACATGAGCCAAAAAGCCCAGCCTGCGCTGTCTGGAAATCTTTCAGTTTGCCTTTCCTGGCTGTTTTGTAGAATCTGCCGCCAGTTGTTTGTTTTGGAAGAATCGGTGATATCTGATGGCACATCAGACGCCTGAGGTGTGCATTATCATGTCCTTTTTTCGTGACTTCACATAGACTTATTTTACACCAGCAGGAGGCTCGAGTTCTCGGCGTTTTTTTTTCTTAGCCGGGGTCAGGGCAGTTATCCCGCGCGGTCACTGTGTGCTTGAGTCTAGCCACTTCCTTCGTAGGTCGCAGTTCCTTATAAGCAATGTCGTTATTTTACATTCTTCTCTTTATCACTGTGACTTGGTGGAGGTGTTGACGACAAAACTTCATGCCGCAACATCGGACAGGCGGGGCAGCGAGGGACGGTGGGGACCTCAAAAATGGCCGGCGACCGTCAGAGACCTGTTTGGGGGGGATGATTTCACAGGTAAACTACACTAAATGAGGTCTCACTAAGAGTCGGGCCTCTGACTTTGTTTGTGGGAGGGTCCACTTGTCTCTACTGCCATTCAAATAAAACCCCTCTCAGATGGCCACCTTACACTGATAGTTCGGCCGTCCAGGTGAAGACGTCCACCGTGTTCCGAGTGGATGCTGCGCCGTTGACCTGCACTGTGCCGATCGCACTCGCCCTCCCGCACCCACTTTGCTCCGACGGCAAGGTAATGTCAAAACGATCAGAGATGCGGCAGGGGGGAAGGCCGGAATGTGCATTCACAGTGTGGCCGGACGGCGAGCAGTTAGTCAGCATTTGTGGGTGTTCTTCGGAATTGCACCCGTGTTGTTCTTGTTGCCGATGGCGCTGCGACTCATGCGATGGTGTTCCGCGGGGCTAGTCTGAGACCTGGATATACAAAGGGTAATTTGGCGAGCTTACGTTTGCTTTCGATAAATTTACCGCCGGTCGACCCCAGCGTTTTTCGATCCGGAATCTGGTCGCTTATAACGACCGTCGTGTATCACCTGTTTAATCTGTAATTTCAACTTTCCTTCCGCTTTGTTCTACCCTCAAGACGCCTTGTTTTGGCGTTCACTCCTATGACGATCTCTTGAATTTTCCTAAGACGTCCGCGAAGTTTCTGCTGCCGTTAGAGTGCTGCTGTTCTCGATGTTGGGCAGAAAACCGCCGTCATGATGAGTTGCCCTTTAGACGGCAGTAAGTTAGCGGCCGGTCTCATTAAATGTTGACCGCTATTCTGAAATGTGTTTTCTATTGGGAAGGATTACCTGGGGAGTGGAGGTTGTGATATTGATTATCTTGCAACACAATACTGTGATAGTTCAAACTTAACAGGGTGCTGGCTGTTGAACGCAGTTCTTTTTGGTTGCCTACAATAGCTGCACTCGATGAAGCACTACTGAAGTAGAAAGAGGGATATGCTTTATTTTGGAAGAATCATTCCAAAATCTTCAGCAAAAAGGCCTCAATTCACAGTGGATAAATATGGGTACGCAAAACAGATAACACCAGAAGATCAAAAGCGATCTCTGATGGCTGAAAACTGTAACTGTCGACATTATGAAGGGTCCCCGGTGAAGGAGTTGCAAAATTCCTGTCAGATTTTTCTTCCTTCAAAATGGTTCTATCTTAGTGTGCTGATGATCTCATTATTGTAGTTCAGATAAACAAAGAGGGGTGAAAATCAGTACATAATGAGTAAAGCGGGCTAACGGTTGTACATTTAGGAAAATTCCCATGTGAGTGGAGAGCCGAAAAAAGTGACAGCCTAATTTCAAAAGTTTGCCATGCCCTTATAAATTCAAATACATTTTGTAGAAAACATGCACAGAAATATTCTTTCTTATACTTATTTAGTAACAAATCACTTCCTCTTTGTATTTTATTCTTGACGACACGTCTTTCGGTTTTAAAAAAGGTTTTTCTTTTCCGGAATAATTTCGAGTTCATTCTGCCGTTGCATTTGCATTTAGGGTTTCAGTCTACTATTTGTACACCTTTTGTGCAGGAATTAGCATGCATTCCTTTCTGCTATTAAGGAGAAACCACATAGGAGCCACAAAATTTTGCAACGTATATGGGCTATGTTGTATACTACATGAGATGCAGACACGATGCTGTTTGAGCAGACATTGCCCGACCTCAAAAAATTAGAAACTCTTTAAAATCGAGAGATATTATTTCTACGAATACGAAATTTGAGGACGACGTGGTTTAGTACTAAATGAGTACAAGAAGGAGTATTTTTATGCATGTTCCCTACAAAATACATTTTAATTTGCCGAGGCATCGAAAATTAATAGAGAAAATGCCTGCTGCCTAAGTAGTCATTCTTTACCGATTTCAGTCACTGTAGGCGACCAAAAAGAACTGCATTTACAGCCAGAGTCCTGCCGTTTCTGAAATATCTCAGCATTATTCTGCAAGATAATCAATATTACAAACCCACTTAAGTGATCCCTCCTAATTGAAAATGCATTTCGGTCAACATTTCATGAGATCGGTTACTGACTGTAGGAGTGGATTTGTGGCAAGCAGCGTAGCCGCGCGATTGGTTTATGAGATCAGGACACACACACGCAGACTTGTGTGTGCATGTTGATAAGCCCTTTTTCGCTCCCACCCCCCCCCCCCCACCTGACGACCGGTGAGAATGTCCTTTTAGATTCCGGCGCACCATACACCGCAGTTGTGCTTTCCGTCGGTTTAATCTGTTCCGGTCACACTGCCAGCCTGCCGCCTAGTCTGACGCGCGAAATGGTCTGGCCGACGTATATTTAAGGCTGAATCATCTAGTTTCAGCAGTTGCCTGTCCTTTTGCCGATTCGATTGACTTTCCGGTGCTAAAGGGGTGCCGCAGTAGTTAGAGGTTCATACGCCTGCTTGCAACAGCCAATTCGGCCAGAAACGACTATTTTTGCGTTGGGGGACTGCAATTTTGTGGGACAAAGACGCGGGAACCGGAATGGGTGACCGTTTTGTCTATTTTTTCTCATTATGACGTTAGACTTCTAACTAGCAGGTATCGAGTTGGAGCCTCGGAGGTTGCACACCTCGGGGTTGGGTACGGCTGGCTGATGACGCCTAACATGTCAGAAGTGGCCGTTCCAGTCCCACTTGTCTTTGTCGGCACCATCTCATCTACCTATACTAGTAGTCGTTGTGCGAGCGTTCTAGTTTGAGCCCCAATGCACAGCGGAGCAAGCACTTCCGTAACCTGATTGGTAAGCGCCCGCATATCTGATCATTACCGACAGGACAACGGCCTCGTGGCTCAATGGTAAAGTGTCCAACTCCATGACTAAAGATTCCGGGTTCGAATCTCAAGCAATCCACACTTAGGGTTGGGCATGACTTGCTGATGGCAGCTAACAAGCCAGAAGTGACCATTCCTGTCTCTCATGCCTTTGTTAATATCACCTTCTTTACCTATACTTCCAGTCGCTGTGCTACCGCATGCGAGGGTTCTGGTTTGAGCCCCAAAGGCACAACGGAACGGTAATGCTATTCAGTCAGCCCGCATTGTTGTAATTTACGACCGGCCATTAACTTTGTAGAAAATTGGAAGGTTGTGGTTTATCACAAAGGGACTTTAATCACGCCAGTCTCACCTAGCCACTAATTTTCATGACCGAGAACCGCACAACCACTGTGTAGGAGTCATCAGTTTACGTGACTCTCGTTTCTTCTCTGTCATCAAGGGGCTTGTGGATTACTTCATTCCTATAGACAGACACCCACAGCCAGGTGCTCCGGTCAACAAAAACGCACAGTTTAGTTGGGACAGTACTGAGAGGATGTGCGCCTGTGCTGGAAAAGCAGTGACACGACAGCCACTTCTGTGGGGAAGAGACAGTGCGGTAGATGCTGCGCAAGTCTGCTATCACTACAAACTAATTCACACACAAGTCACCGTGTCTGCTGCACCTTGCTGGGTGCACCACCGACCTCAATTTAGGTTCCTTCGCTTATCGTGCTACAAGGGCGGGACTGGCGATGGACTTGTGTGCAGCGGGTGAACTTGCCTTAATGTGGCTGCCCCCTCCTGCATACCGGATCTAGGTTTCGCCCCAAAATTGTCTGACCTTGGAGGGACATGTCGGCTACCCGTATCTGTGTTGTTGCGAGATGTATTCCGAAAGTGTCCTTTCTTCGCGTCGACGGCACTTTCGCCATCATGAAGTCTTCTTCTCCTCCTCCCTTTCTCCTCATACCGGAAGCATTCACCAAATTGGCATGCTCGATTAGATTATTTGACACATTCATCCAACCTAGTCGCCTCTGTTCGCGCGTTTATTTGGTTTTCTTCTGTCGTTATCATTACCAACAGGCTGATCTGAATACCCTGAGGAGTCTGCGAGAGCAGAGCAGTGTTTGGGCGCTCTTCAGCGATGGCAGCATCTGGAATAATTCAGTTCAGCAGGCCCATCTGGACACCCCGGTAGAGGAGGGTGATGTGATTGGCCTCTACTACGACCACGCGGAACTCACCTTTGCTGTCAACGGGATTCCCGTAAAGCTGCGTCTACCGCCAGCCTCCACCGATTCGGACCATCAGGCGGTCGTCTTCCAGAATGGCCTCATCGGCATCCGCGGCACTGTCTTTCCCGTATTTGCCACCGACGATGGAGCCATCCTTGACACGCGTTTTACCAGTTTCCACTATCCGCCTCCGCGCTCCTCGGGCTTCACCGAAATCCGATTAGAGCACGATATCATTTGAGCTGTAGCGGGACTCGGCGCCGTTTTCCTAACATTCCTCCCTCTCCTCCTAACGTAGGCCTGCCCACAAAACTCAGACCCCGCTACCTTGTCTCCCCCCCCCTGCCACTTCATTTTGCCCTCGCCCTCGTCTCGGTGCTGCTGCTCTGATTGGTTCCTTTTGAACATGCGCGCTCCCGGACAAGCGCGCCAGCTGTATTGATCTTTTGAAATCCGTCACTGTGATAGTCCTCCATGTCTCCCCCTGTTCCTAGTTCACGTTGCACTATTTTTGATGGATTCGACTGTGAACCAACCAAGAGATTCTGTCACCTTCTGTTGTCTCGACTAGAATTTGACCTGTTTTTTTTTCCTGGCTCTTATCTCGGATTTTCTCGCTCCTTCTCTATCCTTTCCCGCCTGTTTATCTGGCGAGGACAAACAATACTCACCGTTTTTTATAGACACGCTGGTGTTTTTCCTGGTGCGACTGAAGCTTTTAGCCCCATCCGGCTTTGCTTGGGGCCACCACAATAGCGAATGGAAGGTGGAGGTACACCTCCAACGGTAGCGTTATTTGAGATAGGGGCTACATCCGAGGTGGATCTACAGTAGGCAACCTAACCCATGTTGTGAGAATTTTCGGACGTCCTTAAAGTTGCGCATTTCGCTCGTTCGTCCAACCGCTTCAAGGAAATGCTCTTCCCTTGTGTAGAAAATGTGTCCACGTAATTTTGCCAAGAAAAATGCTCAAATTTGAGCCGAAATGGACGTTGCGATATATTTGGACAGTTTTCTACGCTAACACCTGCCTTAAACTTCGGTTGCGCATTCGAACGTGTTTTTCTTTGAGAGAAGAGTAATTTTTCTCAAGAATTTTGTTAAACAGAGCTTTCCGCACTTGAGAATTGATTTTTTGTCCGATAATAACCGTGGGAATCAGTTTGCTAACGCGCCGGTTGTTTTTAGGTAACTAGACGTTTCATAGATTTTTGGAAGTCAGATTAGCAAATCTGTGCGATTTGGTTCTCTAAAATGCAATAATGACGCACACGGGCGACCCTTCGTTTAGCTGGGCTGAAATTGTTCTGCTGCAGCTCAGGCGTTGCTGTACCAAAGCTTCCCCTCCTGCCGTGGGTCCGAACCCCACCAGGCGCCGGGGTTTTCACAGTTGGATAAAAGTAAACAAATTATATTTGTTGTCACAGAAATCACTACCACCGAATAGTCATTTTCAGTTTTGAACATACGGAACACTACTTTTCGTGCGGTCCAGCTTCTGCACATACGTCATTTAGAAATGTAACGAGCAAAATACTGGTAGTTTCAGTAGAATATCAGTACTTACATGGTCACTTCGCAGTGCATTCGTACTCGTAGGACGAAGCCAAAATTAGCAAAGATGGCCAAGATAGAAGCAATATGAAGAGAAGGGCCTATTCATACGTCTGTGGCAGAAAGAGATAAGTAGTTTTACAGCGTGAAATAAGCGGCCTGTGCTGCCAGTATGGTATCCTGCAACTCCCATTACATACTACTGACCGCCCGTTGGCAGGTTACTGAGTACTGCGCGGTTATCTCATGTGGCTGTGAACTTCGGCCCAAGTATTCATACATAACATTTCGGTCTACGCCTTAAGCCCCTACTTTAAGCTGATCTACTCCAAGTTAGCTCTTTCGAGGTAATTAAAAAGCAACAATATATAAAGATTCCCCACATTTATTTTTCATGCCCAAGTAGATCCAAGCATATTTTGTAGGATCAGTACACAAAAAATCTCATCCAAACATTTTCTTAAAAGTATTTTCTTCACAATCTCGACTCTGAGAAAAAGTATCTTCCAGCAATCAAAAGGTCTTTCAGCAATGGATTTGTTTTGAGTCTAAACCTTAGGCTAACATAGCTACAAGCTGTATACTTTCAGTTTTCAAAAAGTAGTCCGTTGATATAGTCTCTCAGGTTGATACCATATAGGGTTCAAAAATGTTTGCAATAGGTACGAATCATGCTGTACACTTCATAAGGAGAACTAATAAACGGGCGTGTATCGCGCTATTCAAATGGAAATTTTAAGACATTAAATTCTCATGCTCACAAGCTTATTATGAAGCGAGAACTACCCCCCCCCCACTTTCGAGGAGAAAAGTCTAAAAAGATACCATTTATTAAAAACAACCCAAGAACAGGTGTTTTTGGCATGTTTTCAATGAAATATGTTTCACTCTATAAGGGCATGAAAAAAGTAGGAAAAAATACCACTACTTGGGCAGTCACTCTTTTACCGAATGTGGTTTTTACTGGCGGACGGAAAGACGCGCACTCAAGAGCCGGTATCTTGGCGTGAATGAGATCTCCTGGAAGTAATCTGCAGGGGAAGCAAAACTGCAGCCCCGTCCATATAATCTCACCTAAGCGATATCGAGTTTCACAGTCTCCCTCAGCTCCATGAGATGTATCACCAGCTGTAATCACCATTTCCTCGCCCACCTCTGTCCTTCAACCAACAAATGTGACCGAACGCGCATCGGTGCGCAAACATGGTCCACGTGATCCACACGCGGGCCTTAGTTGGAAATATTCAGCACCCCGGCCCCTGCCCGTTTTTTGGCTGTTTACACTCTCCAGGGTCTCTTCGCTCTGCTACTCTGCCTCCTCCTTCGGCGCGAACTGTTTATCCGGAAAACGATGTTTGTGCCGGTTTGGAAAGCCCTCCAACATGCCCGTCCTGGTGATAATGACAGCGTAATCTTCGGCGTAGCGACGCCGTAGGGCAGGTTCGTGCGCAAACTATAAGTGATCTGATTTAGCTCTTTGAAGACCTACCAACGTTCAGTAGGTTTGAAAACCCGCCGAGGATCCTTTACCTGCTTGCAAGCCTCTCAAGTAAAGGTGGAAAAGATTTCTAGCCAAAGGTGAATATTTTTATAATTATTAATACTGAGTGAGGTTCGTATTTCGTCATATCCATCTTCTAAGCCTAAGCATTGGACTCTGAGGACCATATCTAGCGGGGTAGATGCAGACAATAGCGACAGGGCGTGTAACAGCCGCTCCAGTCCCCTTTTTCTCCGGCTCCGTTTTGTCGAACGATGGCCGCGACAGCTGTTGACACCCCCGCCGGCTAACATTGGGACACCTCCGGTCCAACTGCAGTGACTCTCGGCTGACCTCACAAACTTTCATCACCTCACGCGCGTCGAACGCTCTGGCGTGATACCCGTGAGGCCTTGTGAGTATGCGCCACCCTATTCCTCCCCTAATTTGTCCAGTCACACAACCAACACTCAGCCAGTCAACCTCTCCTGCTGACACAGACATTAACTCCCGCGTAAACAACACACCGTGACTGATACTCTCCGTGAACGGATGTTTATCTCTGTCGCAAGCAAACAGCCAACTTACGGCAACCTGCCCTGTGTATAGAATAAACTAGTCCTCACAGCTCCCCGACTTCTGACATTAGACGAAACGAACTTATTGTGCGTGGTTTAAGTTGATCTCACTGCCTTGACCGCCACAGGCTTTTCGACTTTGGAGGTCCAAATCGAAGTGAAGGGTTGATTATATTGCTTTTTTCGATTTTCTCGACCCATTCAACCACTGTGCCGTGAGCTTAAGCGTTTTACTTGGTGATCGGCGTGTTCTGGTTCAGTTTTCAGAAGGCGTCGGTGAGCAGTTTTCAACCAAACAGCTAATTGTCTTGGCTAATGCGCGCGAAGACACAGTACCGTATGACGGGCAGACTTCGAAAGGCTGTAGCCCAGGAGGTATTTTCATTTTACCATATAGTTTTCCAGTGTCAAGACCACTGCGATAGCCACGCAAAATTTGCACTGGATCAACACAGGGTATGGTGGGCGTAACTTGGGGTGCGAACCCCTTGCAAATGCTATCGATGGAGGGGTTTTGTGGCATTATCAGGAAAAACGACCTTTGAATTTATACTGAGTGTTCTTCCTCTGAATTAACGCAACAATAATTGTCAGTTGTATGGATTAACCAATGGCTTGAGAACGCCGCCTCGGTAGTCTGGCCTAGTGGTGTTTAAGTGACTACTCGTCCGACGTCTGTTAATTTTCTAGAGCCTGCCTCGGTTCGCAAACTCGATCAGATGTCGGATCTTAGCCGATATTAATGTCTGTCTTCTGCGCTCAAAAGTTTGACCTGCAAAACAGTTCGGCAGAATAATCGCTCAGAGGAGGAGCGGTGATTGGCATCAGTCGAGCCGCAGCGAGCCAAAGCCAACTGCCTCAACTAGTTCAGCAGCACATACCACCCCAAC